CCAGGGAAGCCTTTCTGTCTCTGATGCTTCTGGGGGAAGCGCTTCATCTCTTCAGTGTCTGCTTCCTGGTTCCCCGAGGGAGCTCTCCACCGGCCTCGCTCCCCCATCTCCTCTCGCTCTCTTTTAACTCTCAGAAGAGACTGACTCAAGACACAACTTGACCCTCACCCTGTCTCAAGACTAGAACAGCGACAGCCACGTCCCAAATGGGATCATAACCACGGGCATGGTGGTTGGGAAAGAGAACGCATTTGGGGGGCGGGCAGGGGTCAAAATTCCATCCGCCACAGATCCACGCTTGCTTTCTGTTGCTGACTTGGCCTTAAGATTTATTCATTCCCCATCCTGCCCCTCCCCCACCCCAGCTTAAGGATTGGCTTTGGAGGAAAAAAGCAGGGGAAACAGAGGAAGACACCCACAGGAAGTAGTCCCTCTCAAAGGGCTTCAATGGTCCCATCCCCCCAGCAATGAAACTTCCAGAGCCTGGAGAATTGTGGGGTCACACATGTTCCTGAGACGCTTCCCACGGGTCATAATCACCCTGTAGTGTCTCCAGCTCCTGGCTGTATTCCTTTGCTTTGTCCACCCTTAGTCTCCTCCCTGGGTATCTGCGTACTCACTGAATGGGTGGATGAATAAACAAAGGAAATCTATGAATGAAGGATTCCTGGGGGCCACCTCTTCCCATGGTATAAAACCCAAAAATCTAACTCCCCACCACAGAGTCCGTTCTGACCCGTAGTGACGCTGTGGGACTTAGCAAGACTGAGCCTATCAGTCCTTACTGGAGTAGAAAGCCTCATCTTTGTGCTGAGGAGCACCTGCTGGTTTCAAACTGCTGACCTTGCGATCAGAAGCCCAACGAGACACCCCCTCTGCCACCTGGGCTCCTTCCCACAGCAGATTCCCCACGAAACATAGCACGGACTGCCAGAAGGACCAACACATGTGTCTTGGAAGGGCAGTCAGAATGCGCCTTAGAAACAAGGATGGTGAGGCTGTGTCCACTTTGGGATCAGGAGGGACCGTCCCTGAAGAAGGGCATCATGCTTGTAAAAGCGTGGTGGGCCCACGGGAAAAGGGAAGACCGTCTAAGAGATGGGCGGGCCCAGTGGCTGAAAGCATGGACTCAATTCCAGCAAGGATCGAGGATGGCCCAGGAGCCGGCGCGTGTCTTCCATTGCGCCCGGTGGGGTCACTAGGCCTGGACACAAGCGTGACTTCTCCCTTCCCAATACCTCTCCTTCCCTCCTGAGACTCCGGTGGCTCCTCCTCCACCTGGAACTCCAGGGCACCAGGGGTGGTGGG